ATCTTCCCCCATGTTCTCAATAGTTAATACCATGTTCATGGCATCCCTTTGTATTACCTATATCATCCTATAAACAGAGGGTTTGGGCATCACATTGTACACACTTGGAATACATAGAAGAAATAAGAAGGTTCCCTCTTCCTCTCCACATCTTTTGTCTATTTTATTATTTCTATATTATAATTTTGAGCTTAGTTTCTTAACAACTTAATTTTCTTCTTCTTAATTAATACTGTAATTTAGTAATAAATATATAATTTTATAGGTAGGGAATTTAGTTTATTTAAAAGGATATTTTAGTAATCCAACTTTTAACTTTTGAGGTTCCCACTTTTATAATAATATAGATAGATATAGATAGCTCATTCCCCTACTTTTAAATTTTCTTTTAGATATTGCTATTTGTCACGATCCAAAACTACCAATCGATCGTGATGGCGCCTAACTCACCTGCTAGGGAAGCCGAACATAATAAAAGCACAACAAGATAATAGAAATAATGGAAATAGTACACGTCTAAATCCACCAATATAAATAATTGCGTTGATACATAAAAATCCTCTGGAACTTGTAATAAAGAGTCATGAGCTCTAAAATAGAAGTACAAATCTGGAATACAAAATGGAAGACTATTTGAATGAAAACAGCAGTACAGAAATGAAAAAAGATGCCAAGACTGCGTTCGAGATGCAGATCTACCTCGTCTCTCGAAGATAATCACAACTACTCATGGCTCGGTCCAACACTTAGATCTACACAGTTAAGTGCAGAGTGTAGTATGACTATAACCGATCCCATATACTTAACAAGTATCATAACCAATCTCGACGAGGTAATAAAGGATAGAATTATTAATGATACTCGCTAATAACCTGCTCAGTAATCTCACAAGTACACATCAATTAATATTATCAAGTCGTAAATCATGGATAAAATTATCTTGGTATATATGAGATAAAACAACATGCTCTGTTTCAGTTAACAATTCAGCATATAGAGAACATATGCACAAAAAAACATGTATAAGTTCCTGATTTAGCATATAGAGAAGATATTCAAATAAAACATGTATACATCCAAGATAATTACTAGCAGAGAAAAAATGCAATAACCAAATCAAAAATTGTCTAGTTTTCTCATACCGCGTGTACGCTCTCAAGAGAGAAACATGAGAGAATGACCCTAGGTAGATGGATCCATATCCATACACTGTACCGACAACTCAAGTGACATATATAACCACCGCACGGACAACTCACGTGCTAACTTAACTCAAATCCATACGAACAACTCACGTGTTATCAACTCAGTCCATATCACACAAAAAAGCATATGCAAGAATACACATATATGAACAATGAATATCAATTTACATACTCATGGACCAATATAAGTGACATTCTAACGTGTAGGCATGTGCGAAGTGTGGTATCACAGTTCTAGTCAGGTGATTACGCCATAAGAATAGAAACTAACATGTTTGAACAGGAGATCAACCGACAAATAATCTCTAACATGATTCAAATAGCTCACAAAGGGAGTACAACATAAGAAGTATGATAGCCTGAAGCTTAGAAATCAATTCAAAGCATATAATAGCCTAATCACTACCCCCGAGCATAGATAATACCCCATGCACATGTGTGTCACACATAGCCCGTAACTATCGCCAATAATTCAGGAAACAGGTGCCTCAACTAAGTTTAGGTAAGACTCTTACCTCAAGCAAGTCAAATCAATACTCTAAGAATCTCTTCCTGCATGAATCAACAACGGCTCGAATCTAGCTAAAAAGCTTAATAATATCATTAAAAGCCATAGAAAATAATCTCAATCATTAAAGCTAAGATTTTGATACAAATATGCAAATTCAACACAAAAGTCAAACTCGGGTCCGCATCTCGAAACCCGACAAAATATATAAATTTCGAACACACATTCTAATACGAGTCCAAATATGTGTATTTCATCCGAATCCAATTTTAGATCTCCCCCCAAATTACCAAATTTCACTCTCCAAAAGTTGTAGCAACCCCTCCCCCTCCCAAATTCCTCCTTAAATTCACATAAAGTGGTGTAATAATACATGGGAAATCAATATCTAACATTGAAAGTCTAATAAAGATTACTTACCCTTTCAATTGTAGTGAGAAACCCTTCAAAAATTGCCTCTAGCCGAGCTCCACAACTCCAAATAATGAAAAATCACCTAACCCTCTAAATAATATAATCTATCCAGCGATTTTCGTATTTGCGGATAAAATCCCGCTTCTCCAATATCATATCTACGAAAAATCCATCGCAGATGTGGAAGTTATTAATCCTCCCCACCAGCCGCTTCTACGAACACCAAGTCGCACCTGCGCATCCACTTCTGCGGAAGAACCTGCGTTTCTGCGCTTGCGCATCAGTGCTCCCCAGTCCGCATCAGTGCACTCAGCCTTCCCAGTCATGCACCGCATCTGCGGCCCCTAGGTTCGCTTCTGCGAACTCGCACCTGCGGTCAAACTCTCATATGTGCGAAAACAGCAGAACAGGTATGCCCAAAAATGTAGAAATGATCTGCAACTCATTTGAAACACACTCGAGCCCCTTGAGACCCCGTTTAAACACACCAACCGATCTCAAAATATAATACGGATCTACTCGAGGCCTTAAATCACACAAAATAATATCAAAATCATGAATTGCACCTTGATTCAAGCTTAAGGAACTATTCAACTTCTAACTTCCAAAACGCATGTCGAACCACATCAAATCAACTCGTAATAACCTCAAATTTCGCACACCGGTACCAAATGACATAACGGACCTATTCCAACTAGCAGAACCACAATTTGAATCCGATATCATCTAAGTCATTTTCCGGTCAAACCTATGAACCTTCCAAACCTTCAACTTTCGCCAAATAGAACTAAATTAACCTAGGAACCTCTAAATCCAAATCCAAATCCGGACATACGCCTAGTTCAAAATTACCGTACAAAGCTACTAGGACCATCAAAACACTATTCCAGGGTCGTCTATACAAAAATCAAACTCCGGTCAACTCTCACAACCTAAGCTCCCAACCTTGAAACTAAGTGTCTCAATTCAATTCATAACTTTTTCGAAACTAAACCAACTGCCCCCGCAAGTCACATAACGACAAATACACATATGCAAAGCATCAAATAGAGGAAACGTGGCTAAAATACACAAAGCGACATGCCGGATCGTTACATTATTGCTCTCAACCGGATGTGGCGGACGCTTAACATCTTCTTGCATTTCCATTGTTGTATCTGAGGAAGTGAGCTGCCACTTATTCGTGGGGCTGCCAACTATCTTTATTCAGCTTTATATTTTATGTCTAGTGGATTATATATAATCTGACATTTCTAGATAGTATTTGGACTATGGCACAGATAGTTATTTGTTATTCCATTGTAGTTGCTCATGATGTTGCATTGCCAGTTCTTATGAGTTGTAGTAGTATTTCCGCATTGTTTTAGGTGTTTATGGTTTTATCTTCTATCTTATGACCATTAGATTTATAAGATATTATCTTGTTCCTGTGTATGGCTCGCCTAGCCGGTAGTGTTAGGTGCCATCACGAGATCTTGGTGGGATTTGGGTCGTGACATGTTGAGGTTTCTGGAAAATGCTAACTTAGGCTTTTAATTTAAATTTGTCTTGTGAAATAATTAATGACGATGTCAATTTCTTTCGCCGATGATTTTTTATGTCTGCCCACTTACTCACAACCCTTTTGTTACATTGAACAGGTACTTGGTGATGAATTTATGTCCATTTAATTTATCGGTATGGGAGTTATGTTATAAACAATTTATCAGGTTGTCTTGACTTCTTTGAAATGGCTGCAAAATATATGAGGTCCTTAATCCAAATAAATCACGAGTGAAGTGATCGGTAGCATTTTTTTTTTTCCATCTATGTAACTACCGCATGTTTGTGGAGTTACATTGCGCTGCCGATCGAGTCCTTGCTGTTGTACGAGTACATTTTGTATATGCTGTTCCTAAGATATGGCTTGTTTGGCTTATTCCATTTGTCACCATGCAACGGCTGCAATTGAATATACTCTCTAATATGAGTTTTCGAGAAGCTAGAAGTATTGTCATTCTTTTCCTATTTTTGAATACACTAGTCTTTACTCTTTATTTTCCTTAACATGGGAATCGCCTAGAGTTACAAGGGACTCGTTGAGCAATGAAGGTGGCCTCTTTAAGGCCACAACCAAATTAACTCGAGAAAAGAGAATTTTTTGCTACTATAATATACTTGATTTTTTTTATACATCTTTTTTCATTGTGTTGTGTTTTGGATTCTTTTAGTCGTTTGGAGGCTTATTGCTTTTGATCAAAGTTTTGTAGTTACAAGGATATGAAGCGGGCATGGCTTTTGGTGGTCGAAGACTTATTTCTGCCTCTGTTTTTCTTTCTTTTACCCTGGTTTTCATTAGTATGATTTTTCTGATTAAATTAGTTTGCATTTGTCAGATCTTTTGATAACTTACATTTATTATTTCTTTTCTTTTTTTAAAGTTAGGGGTACGCTCTATTAAACTGTCTTCCAGAGAAAGAAAAAGCAAAATTCCACTTTGCACCTATGAAAGAAAGAGCAATTAATTTTAATTTCACATTGTGTTGGGGTACAAAGAAATTCTTATCTCTTGTTGCATTTGTTATTGGAAAGAGGAAGGAATTGGCTCTCCGCATTTCCTTCTGCTCCAGTCTTTTCCCTATGTATGATTATCCGATTTCATTTAGAAGTATAAAAGCAAAAGGTCTATGGGACACAACTTTTGGCATTATCACAATCAACCTAAAGAACCAGTTATGGGACACAGAGACGACTATACAACAGTAAACACTACTCACTTCTGAACTTTACCCACAAGTGGGAGGTCCAAGATCCTCGCGTCCCCTTTTCCTCAAAAGAAATAATTCTAACAGTGCAAAACATAGAACATATTTCCAGTTCCCATAAAACCAATATATTTGAACCTCAAGATGTTAACTGCAGAAAGGCCATTTTGAAGCTTTTTGATAACTATGTTTTCTGGCAATATAATCCTCTACATAAAGAAATTGCAAAAACAAAAGCATCAACATAAGTTTACACTGCAAACCTGAGAGTTTTAGATCTTGGATTTACAACATCAACTTGGGGGGAAAATTATCAATTCAAATGCAAGAGTGCATTCACCAAAAAGAAACTTGTAAAAGGGTGGAGATGTTATCAACTCAAGAATGAGGCTCTCAACAATTAATTGCTTCAATTTGGTGTTGACCTTCCATTCGTACTGTCCTGAGGATTCCTGGGAGGTTGTGCTCCTGAAAACATCTCCATAACAGACCTCAAGGCCCCAGTCAATTCTTCAGGCATCTGTTCACCAAAATTGACATTGATGTTCCTGCCTAATCTTATTCCGGGCTCATTAGTTGAATCACTGTCGCTGCTTCCTTCAGACCCGTTTGGACCATGCTGCCCTTGAAATGCATCTCTTGTCATGTTCATAAACACGTTAGTCAAATCAGGAATGCCAGAAATGCCATTGCCATCGAATGACATTGATGCAAATGGTGGAGGCATGGCATGACTTCTAGATGCACCAGCAGGCTGCTGATTTGATTCTTGTCCATGACTCCCAGAGGTTGAGCTCTGCAAAAGACCAAAGGATACAAAATGAAATTTCAGTTAAATGCTCACCGTTGCTAAATTAGATGGTAAATGGATAAATGGAATCAAATATTAGATATGCGCAGCCAATTTTATAATCACATTGTCAGAGGGCTGAACTACAGAGACATGCTCCATTCTCTTTCTTTTTAAAGAGAAAGATAATGAGTAAGCATCATACATGTTCATTGTAGTTTTCTCACACAATAATGCGGTACTAGATGGTGCTACCACAGACAAGACATATCAAATTTCTTATTTTATTTTTTTGAGAACAACAGACAGACAAATCACTATCGGTAGCATTGAGCTCAACACTAGATGGTGCTACCACAGACAAGACATATCAAATTTCTTATTTTATTTTTTTGAGAACAACAGACAGACAAATCACTATCGGTAGCATTGAGCTCAACCCTTGTCTGGGTGTTAATTACATAACTTGTAATTATCAACTTAATAAATCTAACAAAGCTCTTCTGCAATGCGACAATTGTCAGTTACCTGATCATGCTCCCTCTTCTGTTGCTCTTCTTTTAACTTCTGTTCTGCTACCTACAAGTTTAACATACGAGAGTAATACTTGGATATATGCAAGCACCATTTCAGCTATAAACTTAACTGCAATCTACAGTAGAAACTAACCCGTATATTTTCTTTGATAGAATCATTGTTAGGATCCAACTGCAATGCTTCACAAAAAAGGGTTTACGTCAGAGATAGATTTCTTCTTGGGGATTAACTAGACAACAAAATTCACATGTTCGTATTCTGGTACTGCTCATCAAAATTTCTAACATGGATGACAGAGATAACGTGCAAAACCTCTTTACACTTCTTCACAAGACCAATACTGATCAAGTAGCCAGACCAATTACCGAGCACCACAATACAACACATAATATACACAGATCTTCATTTCACCCAAACAAGTCCCTCGTAACCACAGATCAGTCCATGCCCCAGTTTGCATGTGTAAGGCCAGTTCCGTCTTGATTCTCTTTTATCCAATTATTGATTGTTTGGGGTGGGAACTCCATTCACTATCTCTTGATGAGGGAAGGAGGAAGAAAGAAATAACGGAGAGGGAGGGCATTAGAGGTGGACATCGGTTGTGGCAAGAGCAGTTTCTTCGACTTCTTTTTCTTTCTATTCTTTAAATTGCTTCTAGTTGACTTTCGTAGTCATGCTTTAGTGGGTACTACAAGATACCTACTACCTCCCACCAACATAGGTATCGAGTAACCCTGCCAACCAAGATTTAGGTAGATGGGAAGAAATCACCTAGCAGTTTTGGTCTCCGCTGGGATTTGAAGATCTCATAGTTCACCTCCCGATTTATGGACCATTAGGCCACACCCTTGGGTGCTTTAATTTTTTCATTAATGGAGTAGGAGGATCTGTTTTTGTCAGACATCCAATTGTGTTTTTGACATTTTGGCCAACACTCGGTTTTCCTTTTCAAGTAGAGGACTTAAATAAACCTGTTGAAAACGTGATATCAGGCTGTGGAAACTCCAAATAAGCACGGATTTCAGAAAGTTGCTGTAATGTGAGCTGAGGTCTATAAAGTCATTATTCAATGCTACGAGTCATCTTCATAATATGTCATCATATTTACTACATTCTCCTTGTTTGCAATTTTACAGGAACCCACATCATACTATATTTCATATTTGTTAATTCCAACAAAAACAAATTCAGGTGAATACTATACCTTTATACATTTTAAAAAATTAGAACCAATAAAACCTAAATATTGTAACCTTATCAAAAGAGATCAGAGAAGTCAATAAAAAGGAAAAGTAAGACTCAGTATAGCTTTCCTGAAAGAATTCTATGTATAGTGGTTTCATTGACAAATCCCAAATCCCACAGTTGGCTAGCAATCACCAAAACATTTTTTAGAACTGCTATGTGTCATGGGAAGAACTACAAATCAAATTTCATAATGAACTAATGAAATTAACTGAAAAAAATTATAGAGCATGAGAAACAACACGACTACTACAAACAATCCTAGTACACACATATCAAAGTTAGTCAGAGCTTAATGATGACTATCCTCGATAAATTCAAAACTATAATGTACTCCAAAATACCAAGATGTTAATTTAAAAACAACACACAAACTGAATAACTGGTAAAGTAAAAAGATATTTTTTTGATAAGGTAGTAAAGGAAAAAGATACTCTTGATCCAACCTTTTGTGAATCCCTTATCTATGGCATCACGGTACTTCCCTTGAGCATAATAGACAAAACCCAATCTACTATACGCCTTGCTATAATTGGGGTTGATTGCAGTAGACTTTAGGCAGTCCTGAACTGCTGCTTCGTATTCGTGGATTTGGGTTAAAGCAGCTGCCCTGATACATCACAAAAACCTCATCTTAAAATAGGTCTCGATAACTATTTACAGGTTAAAAAGATTCAATTTACGGCTATTAGAATTTTCAAAGAAAAGATAAAATAGAACTCCCTCCATTTCATTTTATGCGGCACTGTTTGATTGTGCATGGAGTTTAAGAAACAAAGAAAGACTTTTGGAACTTTTGGTTTCAAAAATGCCGTGACATTTATGGCTATAAAAGCATGTCATTAAGGGTAAAATGTGAAGTATAAATTGTTTCCAAATATAAAAGGGTGTCATTCTTTTCGGAAGATTGAAAAGTGAATAGTGTCACAGGAAATGGAATAGAGGAAGTACTAATTTTTCATGGAAAATGCAATAATCAATTTCCCCCATCACTGTGACAATGACGCACCTGTTGCAATAGTAAACTGCATTATCTTCACAAAGTGCAATTGCAAAAGTATACAGCTCAATAGCATCAGAGTAAAGCTTTGACTGCATGGCTTTATTACCTATTATAATATCCCAGAAAGGAAAAAAAAAATAAGAGGAAAATTTGAGCCAACGCTTTCATAAAAGAAAGGGAGCTTCACCATTGGAAGGAACTAAAGACTTGTGCAAGTAGACATCACCCTTGAGTACATATTTGTGAGATATTCAAGGCCAATCAATTGCTTTAGAATTAGAAACTGACCTTTTGACAACATTATTCTTCCCAATTATTGAGGCAGCCAAAGCTCACTCCTCCGGCCCAGCAAAACGGACGATGTGCTGAATTAAGGCCGGGAAGAAAGTTGGGCTTACAGTGAGCCAAGACTAGCTTAGCCTGAGTGCAACTTAAAATGTTTTGCAGAGCTACCCTATAGAATGAAATAATGATAATTCATGTGGAAATTGTGATTCAACTAGTTGTCTTTTCCTAAATTTTCTCGAAACTAGGTGAACCTTGAATGAAATGGGTCCAAATATAGCAAAATGATTAGTAAAGTCTCATTTTTCTTATAACAGCGGTATTTGGACCGGTTTGCGCGCAACTCAATTATTTCACCTGAGTATCTGCATCCTATCCTCCCACCAGTACAGGCATTTTCCTACTAAAGTTTAGGCAGATAGGGAGAAAATACCTAGCTCTATACAATAACAATAGCAATAACAAACCCAGTGAAGGGTAGTGTATACGCAGACCTTACCCCTACCCTGGGAGGGCAGAGAAATTATTTAAGATAGATTCTCGGCGCAAGAAAGAGTGGGGAAAAAAACAGTGAGAACAAGTCGTAACAACATCAAGATATTAAGAAAACTGAAGCAAAAGATAGCAATCAAACAATATGTAGTAATAGCAATCTAAGAATAAGGAAGATACCATAGTAACACTAATACTACCGGCAATGGGAAAGAAAAGGAAAAATGTTCGACTACCTACTAACCTTCTACCTTAATCCCCGACCTCCACACCCTCCTATCAAGGATCATGTCCTCGGCAGTATGAAGTTGCGTTATGTCCTGCCTAATCACCTTACCCTAGTACTTCTTTGGCCTACTTCTACCTTTACCTCTCCGCATATCCACCAAGGTCACATCTCACACCTCATAAATGAAGCATCACTGTTTCTCCTCTTCGCATGCTCGAACCATATTGGCCTCGCCTCATGCATCTTGTCCTCCACGAGGGCCACTGCCATCTTTTTCGAATATCTTCATTCCTACTCTGATCTAACCTAGTATGCCTGCACATCCATCTCAACATCCTCATTTCAGCTACTTTCATTCTCTGGGCATGAAAGTTTTTGACTGGCCAATACTTTGCCCCATACAACATAGTCGGTCTAACCACCACTTTGTAGAACTTATCTTTAAGTTTTAGGGACACATTCTTACCACACAAGATACCGGATGTGAGCCTCCATTTCATCCACCCCGCTTCAATACGATGTGGGATATCTACGTCAATCTCCCCATTTCCTTGGATTACTGATCCAAGGTACTTGAAACTTCCACTCTTAATGATGACTTGTGTGTCAAGCCTCACATCCATATCCGCTTACTGGTCACGTTGCTGAACTTGCACTCCAAGTATTATGTCTTGGTCCTACTCAACTTGAAACCTTTACACTCTAGGGTCTATCTCCAATGTTCCGGCCTCTCGTTAACACCACATCTTGTCTCGTCAATCAGAACCATGTCATCTGTAAATAACATATACCATGGCACCTCCCCTTGAATGTGGTGCGCCAGTGCATCCATAGCCAAGGAAAATGAAAACGGGCTAAGGTTGATCCTTGGTGCAACCCCATCACTAGCGGAAAGTGTTTCGAGTCTCCTCCCACTATCCTTATTCGAGTCTTAGCTCCATCATACATCTCCATAATCACCCTAATGTAGGCTACAGGCACAGTGCTAGCCTCCAAACATCTCTATAGAACCTCTCTCGGAACTTTGTCATATGCTTTCTCCATGTCAATAAACACCATATGCAAATCCTTCCTCTCCCTATACTGCTCCACCAATCTTATTACAAGGTGAATGGCTTCCGTAGTCAAACGACTCGGTACGGAATGAATCAGAACTGTTCTCAGAAATAAGCACACTCCTCCTCACCCTTACTTCTAACACCCTCTCCCAAACTTTCATAGTATGACTTAGCAGCTTGATACTCCTATAGTTGTTGCAATTTTGGATATCACCCTTATTCTTGTACAACAGAATTATCGTACTCCACCTCTATTCGTCGGGCATCTTCTTCATCCTAAAAATGACACTAAACAACTCGGTGAGCACTCCAAGCCTGCCCTACCCGCGTTCTTCTAAAATTCCACTGGGATTTCGCAACTTTTTTTTTTGCCTCGATTGGGGTCCTTATTCCAGCTTCATCGACGGTTAGACCATCCTCTTGGGGTGCAATAACGAGGATTCATGAACTAAATATCTGTTTGGAAACATACAAAGGGGCTGAACATTTCACCAATCTTTTTTTCTTTTTTTGAGAAAGAGGAACATTTCACCAATCTTGTAAAGCTGAAAGTTGGATATGAAAGGAAAATCAAGTACTAGGGAGATTTCTGGCTATAGCAAAATATACTGAGACGGCCTTTCCTTGGCTAAACAGTTTGGCACTGGACAAGAAGGCCTATATTGAAGATTGTATAATTGAGAATAAATGGGACATCAGGTTCAGGAGACATTCAAGATTGGGAAATAGAAAGCATAACCTACTTCTTTGGTAAAGCTAGAATGAGCTAACAAGTTACTATTGAACCTCTTCGACTTGGACAGCAAGTACAGTAAATTACGATTTTTCTAAAAAAGAGGACGGTGAATTACAGTGGAATCTTGCTATGAAGTATTAATGGTTCTGTGAAAGAAAGAAGACAATGGCCCTAAAATACAATCTGAAAATCAAAACCCTGTTAAACATAGATTACTTGGATTGCAGCATATAAAGCCTGCTGAACAATGAGGACTTGCAGAAGAAAGGCCTCAATTTAGTTAACAGCTGTTACTAGTGTGAAGAAACGTAGGAAACTGCAAAACACTTATTGTTAAAGTTCCCTGTTAGCCGGCAAGGCTGGAGTTTATTTCTAAATATATTTTGTTCGCCATGGGTGATACCAAACATTGTGAAACAAGCAATAGAATGTTTTAAAGGGAAGAAAATAAGGAATACAGTGCCTTCTCGCATGTATGGAGAGAAAGGAATACAGATGTTGCGATAAGAAGACTTAAGTCATACACCGCATAAAGTATAGCTCTTTGCAATATTCTTTTTTTGGTGTAAAATGCAAAACATAAATGATTTTGACACTCCTACATCTAATTGACTCCTTACATCAAACGAGATATAGTTTATGATACTGGTAATCTCAGCATTTTGCTGTTTCATCAATAAAATATCTTTACCCTTAAAGAAAAGAAACATGTAAATAGAAAGTACCTTGTGATTTTAAGGTCTCAGCGAGGTTGTTTCGATTTAACATAGCACATCCTGATTTTTGCATTTCCTAAAACCATAAACGATAAAGGTGGTAGGAAGATATTCGAACAAGAACTGCAATAATTTTGACAAATCATGACAGAAGCAACAGTAGCTAGCATATGAACAAAACAAACTGTAACATAACTCAATGTCTATTCCTATTCATAGAAAATATAATTCATCAATTGAAATATGAGCCCTTTAGAGAGTTTAGCGTAGGGATGAAGTGCATGTCTTAGTGCCCTGGTGAATGCATTGAAGCTTCGTCTAAGCTAATCGAAAATATCCTTAACCGCACTCAAGCGAACCTTGTCATAGTGATGTCATAAGGGAATAGAAGGACTTCATGCAACTGCATAGATTCACCTTTTAGCTGGTCAAAAGGAGTACGAGCCCTTTCAAAAGAACTTTAAGCCCTTCTACTCTAGAAAGCATTTTTAATCATATGGGGAATAGAATGGAAGGAAAGCTTCATTCTGGAATGATAACTGGTTGGGGCATGGATGCCTAAAGGAACTCTACCTTGATATGTTTGGTTTGGCACAAGACCAACAGAAGACAGTAGCTGAGATGTGGATGGGAACTAATTCTTAGAAAGAAGTTGAATGGCTGGGAGATAGCAAGATTAACTGATCTTTATAACAAGCTGGAGACATTTAAAGGAATACAGGAAGGGGTGGACTCACTTTGGTGGCAGAGGCATGACAGAGGGGTCTATCAGGTGAAGGCAGCATATAAGATTTTGAACCAAAATAACCCACAGATAAGAGATTGGCCATGGAAGCATATATGGAAAACTAAGATTCCCTATAAGGTAGCTTGTTTCACTTTGCTACTAGCAAAGGAGGCTGTATTAACTCAGGATAATCTCATAAAAAGAGGAATCTCTTTGTGCTCAAGATGTTTTCTATGTGGAGAAAGTGTTGAGACAGTTAGCCATCTATTTCTACACTGCAAGATAACAGACCAACTATGGAAAAATTTTATTAATCTTAGGGGTATTTCATGGACAATGGCCCATAGGATCAATGAAGTTCTTTTTAGTTGGGAAGAAGCTGGAGCTGAATGGAACTGAAGCAACCAACAGAGATAAATGGAGGACTGTCCCAGCATGCATCTGGTGGACAGTTTGGAAGGAAAGGAATGCTAGATGTTTTGAAGACAGACGTAACTCAGTACAGAAGATCAAACTCAATTGTATTCTTCTTTTTTGTTTTGGTGTAAACAGATTTACACAGAAAATACATTGTCAATCATAGACATATTAGGATCTTGCTAGGATTGCACACTAGCAAATCTAGTTAGCATTTACCTGTAAATATGGTTTCCAGTACAAAGGTTGTACTGATTTTATAATATATTCAAATGTTATCATTTCAAAAAAAAATTAAAAAAAAGATACTGTCATCAATGTTTGGAAAAAGCACCATTTTGAAGCAAAGTTTTGTTCATGGTAGAACAGAAAAAATGGAAACCACCAGGTGAAATTTAAATGCTGTGTTTTCTCAACCAATTCCATCAAGTATGGAAAACTGATACACTTTAGTAGAAGCATGAATAAAATAACTCATTGTCAATATATACCTCCAAAGCAGTGTGAAACACCCTTGATGCTCTATCCAGCTGAGCCTGATCATCTTTTCCATCTGGCAAGCTTCTGAAATAGTGAGCTTTTTCAAGGGCATCAAAAAACTGCCCAAAGAGCTCATCCTTGGATATACCTGCAAAGCATGATAAACAGCATCAGTTGATTAACATAAAGCAGGACAGAATGTAGGGCAAATCAGAAAGAGAGACACTTTTACCTGCCACTGTCACAAACATATCTTGTAAGATAATCAACGAAAGAAGGAAAAACAAGGTTTAAAACATTTGGATGATGCATTTGGTATGACGAAGAAAAGTCCACCCAAGAACGTGCATCAATAGCTAACAGGGAAAAAAAAAAGGATTACAAGAAAAGTAGGTGCCCATATTTGCTATACTTTGTAACCATGTGTGTAGCCTACATGTATGTCATTTTTAACTAAAGGCCCACATCCACATTTTTAACTAAAGGCCCACAGCCACATTCTAAGGGAAATAATAAACCCAAATACAAATGAATTATAGGAGTACAAAGAAGATGGGCTAGAAAATAGCAAGACAGTTAGCTTAGAAGAATGATTTCGTATGGACCAGAAAATAGCAACACAGATGTAGCTTATAAGAATGACTTTGTTACATCTAACAATCAATCAACTACACTTAAATCTTAAACAAGTTGGATGTAATCTATATGAGCTCTATAAACACCCCGCTGTTCTCGGCCCATTTCATTCAAATACTAAAATTGTCTATATGGTACCAATCTATAGGTTCATTACATCATCACACTTATCCGTATACTAGCGTACGTCTCTATTCAGATTAAAAGGAGTCCTATATCGGGTTTTTCCCCGACAATCCCACGGACAAAAGTTTCTAATGCACTTCAGCTGGAGCAGCCCAACTTACATAATGCAAAGCATAGGAGTCTAACCCCTAGAGAACCCAACCTTTGACGGTAGGTCTAGTTTTCTACCTCTTTGATTGATAAATAGAACTAGATTTCAACCTCGTTTTCTCACACTAAGAGGAAATGCATACTCCTTTTGCTTGGGTCGAAGGAGAAGGGAAGAGAAAAATCTAGCTTTTAGAGAAAGAGATTGAGGATAGTTTAATATAAGCAGGCATCCATTGTCACGAGTGACAGTTGCTTCTCCTAAAGACAGGCATGTACATCTTATCCAGAATAGAAAGACTCCCCGCAAACACTAGACCTAATGTAAGTGCTACAACAACTAAACCTTAATACAACTAGTTAGTAGTCTCGATAGATTCTTTACTTCAGATTTCTTCCGTTCTTAGCTAAGTCCGTATTTATTACGAGATGTTGTAGGTCTATTGAGACAACTTTCTCCATTTGATTTTAAATCTAACTTGTAATTCTTTTAGCACCTTCAATTATCATAGTACCTACAGACCGATGCATACCTCAGTTAATGTAGGAAATAGCCAAACCATCTTAGACGAGCTTCTACCATTTTATCCCCTTTGTGTGCTACTTACACCCTCTATTGGTTGTGGTCATTTCTAGTCTTGCTCAATCTAGTATAACTGTACATTCATCTTAACATTCGCATTTTTGGGACATCAATATTGTGGACATGTTGGACTTAGAGGACCAACATTCACCCCTATATAACATTGCAGAATGATAACCCTTTTTTATGAAACTTGCTTTTCCCTTCGTTAAGTATCTTTTATCAAAGCACTCCATTTTAGTCATACTAATTTAATCTAATGTGTTACATCTTCATCTATAATGTCATTCTGCTGGAAGACTTAACTAGATATCTGAGTTTCTATATTTAGAAACCACAATCTTGTCTAACCTCACTTCACCTTCATTTCGTTTAAATCGAGACTTCACCTTCATTTATCTTATGGGTTTAATTTGTAGCGTATAGAGTTTGTATAATTTATACTTATCTAAAACTGTTACTCTCTTTTAAGGTGAATTTATTGACATGCAGTAGGGAGGAAAGTCTCCAATATAAAAGATGCATACAAGAAGTAGAGAATCTAAATTGTTATCTTCAAGAGTACTTCTCCATAATTCAAACTTTTTATTGACTACATAGCATGTTTGACAGAATATCACTGGCGACTAGCATTCACCATGAAACCTCACAATGTATACTATTGGTTAACTCATCCATACCTATACAAACAAGTAAAGGTTCAAGGCAAACCCCAGGTGTAAATCCGTAGTTACTGGAAACTCCTCTATATCTCCTGCTATTTTTTTTTTTTTTTTTTTTTTTAGAAAG